CTAAAAATAGAATTATTGTCCCATATCATGGGGACAACCCCAATACTTGAAATGGCGCGCGCTTACGGTCTCCGTCCCCGATTATGGCTCCTGTTATTACACAATTCGAGAGCGAATAATCTAATTGTTTTAATACAAATCTACTAGTCGATCAAAACTTTATCTAAATCCTCTTCACAGACTTTTCGAAAACGCAAAGAAGCGGTGCTATTGCTCGGCTACTCACCATCTACAACAGAATAGAGAGTGAGTAACGCAGCCAATCAGAGAACAGCATTCGTGATAAAACGCAAGTAGAATGATACTAATACGGATATGATATTTACCTTGGCAGTTTTTTCTCCGCCAGTTTTTGAAGCCTCGTGTAAAGGAAGTTCTAACGCTTTGTTATAATAGTGAATGGCGAATTGAAGGAGCCCTAGAATAGAAATGGAGGAAGGTAAAGACTGACTCTGCCTCAAGGCAAGTTAGATGGCTAAACAGTGACAAACTAACCCAATTGATGGAAGGCGCGTCCAATGTTATAAAATGCCTCCTGGCATTCACCACGTAAACCAAGATATTGAAATAAAAAGACGATTCCCTACGGAAAAAGATCATTTGATTGTAAGAGATAATCAAGAAGCATGAATTAGATTTTTTTGTTTTTGAATTTATTCAAGCATCACTACGTACTTGTACAACACATGAATGCCTCTTCCGAGGAAACCGCTGACAAGCTAAGTGGATGTACTGCAGGCCTAAACATAGTGTGATAAAAGGATCGTCTGGTTTTTGGCGGAACGCTCGAACGTATTCACCTGAAGATAAACGAAAAAGAATCCATAATTATCTACTAGTTTCAAAGAAAGCCTACGGAAATAGTAAAAACAAACTGACACAAATACAAAATAAAACAACAACTGGATTGGAACCCAGGACATTCACGTGCAAAAGACCCGAACAACATTTAGTTATAACAGGAACTCGTTTCAGGCTGATACTAAATCAAATTAGTAGAATTCTACTAGTATACTAATGCAAACGCTGCAGTCTGATTGGATGAGCCACTCGTCATTACTCGTACACTATCGGTCATTAGTGTGCCGTGGCTTGGGGTCGCCTAAAAAATCGGAAACATTTTCTGGTTACCCTGATGTTTCTAGGACGATTTAGAAATAACACTGCATAATTCAAAACTCAAGAACAAGAACACTCAGGAAATTGACCGTCGTGCAACTATAACTAACCCTCTGAGTGTTTCAATGAACTGATCTGCGCATGTAATCAGTTGCAAGATTAAAACAATAATTCAATCCAGGTTCGGAGTTGCAGAGGCGTGAACTTAAAAACTGCATATGTTGAAAAATAATTGGAAATTGTTGTTTGAAAGAAATGAAGTCAAAATTCTACCACAACAATAGCTGTTATTGCAGTTATCAGTGGCTTGACACACAAACGAGGCGAAAGGGTCAATTCTGCATTGTATTGACTATAATTTCGTCTCGTTTGCATGCCTTTTAAAACAAAAGAATATTTGACCGTAGACTCAACTGTAATAACAGCTATTAGATTATGAGATCGAGATTTCTATCAACTATCACTTCATAGAAATCTCGAGCTCGTAATCTAATCAGCTCTAATTGTTGATTTGAATCGACTTTGAACTCAAGCTAACGTGGACCTCTAACGTAGTAAGTGTAAAGCCACAGTATTTTGTCATAAATTATAATATCATTCTGTAAAACGGTAACACTAACCTATTGCAAATCTGTAGCTACCACTGACGAGAGCATTGTGACCGCTGTACATCACTAATGGGAACTCATCCGGATGTTTAATCAGGAGTCGTAAAATGTATCTCGTATGTCTTGAATCGCCTGACTTGGCGGTTATTCTGGACAACATATTCCACAAGACCGGGTTTTGTCTGTCTCTTGCGATGAGTATTTTCGTGGCGTCGAAGGCTATTTTATACTCTCTGTTAAGATACATTGCCACAATACTCATGAAAACAAGTTCTGTCTGGTAGGAGTCAGAAAAGCGGTCTGAAGAGAGCGCACACAACATCAAGTGTTGGGCTTCAGAATGACGCTTTATACGACTTAGGTTTGTCACAACCTACAAGAAAGACAGGCTGGAGTTCAAGCAAAAGTACCACTTTCAGTCTCTTCTAAATTTTTACCCTGTGACAAAAGGACAAGACACTATTCGATGGGAACAAACGGGGAAAATTAAGTCACAAAAATTGAAAATAGAAAGCAATCGGATTTCAGTATTTTACGTCAATCGCTCAAACATTAATCATTCACAAAAGCAATCATTTCTTTAAATCTTGCGGATCTTCCCATTGGGTTTTCTTTTCTTCAATTATTATTTTGCTTTTTATGTTTTCCTGCTGCCTTCCGTCCATCCATCCGTCTGTCCGTCCGTGCATCCGTTCATCCCTTCTTTCGTTCGCTCGTTTGTTGCCTGTTCGTTCGTTCGCTCATTCGTTGCCTGTTCGTTCGTCCGTCCGTTCGTTCGTTCGTCCGTTCGTTTGCTCGTTGGTTGGTCCTTTCTATCATCCCTTCGTTCGTTCGTTCGCTCTGTCATTTTTTCACCTACATTTTTAAACATCTCCCACCATTCCTCGATTCTAAGACCAGTATCACCACTACTGCTGGCCGCGGCGATACCTGGAGAAACAAAACAAAAATAACAATGACAATGATAATGACAATGACAATGACAAAGACAATGGCAATGGCAATGGCTGACAATGATAATGACAATGACAATAACAATGGCTGACAATGATAATGATAATGACAATGATAATGACAATGACAATGGCAATGACAGTGGCAATGGCATTGGCTGACAATGATAATGACAATGACAATAACAATGGCTGACAATGATAATGATAATGACAATGACAATGATAATGGCAATGACAATGACAAGGCTGACAATGATAATGACAATGACAATGACTGATAATCAAATGATAATGATATAATAATAATAATGATAATAAAAAAGCACCACTTCATCTCACCACTTAAAATTATTCATAGCATTGTACAGATCCAAGCAGTAACAAAGCCTTACAATGAGAAACACTTACGAGTACTTTTGGGCTAAACGAGCAGTGTTTTCACGCGGTTTCCTGAGGTAAAAACCAAGCGGTGTGCCTGGCCATGTGTTAGTCTATATACTGCTTTTCGCTTGCTTACGGAGAAATTAAACACTCTTTTCCTGTGGCACACATTCCTTAACTCGTCAGGGAACTTTTCTCAAGAGAACGAAACCGCGCGTGACGTCCTAGTGCTCGGAGATAAGCATTGCGTGACAAGGTCTACGAGATATTTAAGTGCAAAAAGTCACATAAGAGTTAGCAGTCACAAAATCAAACAGCTGCAATGACCTACTTGCTCTTGAGCGTGGGTCTTCCTGCTCCGAGGCTTCTTTTTGTTTCATTTCTTTTTTGAATCTAGTTGATTTCAGGGCTATGTCTGAAAATAAACAACAGAAAGTTACTCACCGTCCATTTCCTTTTTCTAACAATATCACTTTCTCGTGATCGTTATAACCTACAACGAAAATGGTTTTTTTTCTGTCCTATAAGATAATTGACAAACAGACTGAAGAATAAATATGAGCAACAAAAAATAAACAATGTTATTGTAGCATGACTGCCAAGTTAACATGAGTAATGGTTAAACATAAAGTTAACTTGTACCAAGCCAATGACAACATTAGCGTTGAAAAGATGTTTGTTATATAAAACTGGAGTTGTTTGTGCTGATTTCAACCAATGAGAAAAACAGCACCTCAACACGTGTAAAATTAAGAAAATTCCTTACGTACGCGCGCTCATATACTATGCTCTGTTTAACAATTATTGCACGAGCGCGTGTTGGATATTTGATGGTGGATAGCCAACAAGGCGGGTAGAGTCGAGTTGGCTATAATCATTTCATATCCGACAAACGCGAGTGGAATAATTTTTTTTACTAAAAACGTCTCCAAAATATAGAAAACTAAAATAAAGTAAAAATAAAATAAAAAAGGTAAACAAAAAATTCATCACGGGTACGCTTACCATATTTGTAGAGCATGGTAAACCTATGATGGCTTAGCCAATGAAATTATGCATTATCCAGGCCCAGTCTTTTAATAATAATCGTTATTTCATTACATATTATTCCCAGTAGTATGCCATGAAGATATCGAAACGCTATCGAAATTTTCGCTTATACCTTCATTTCCATTTTGACATTCAGATTTTAGTTCCCGCAAGACCTTCTCCCAGGCTTTCACTGTCAATTGATTCAGTGAGGTATCCGAGACGAGCGCCCGGGACCACGTGAGCCGAAATCGAATGTCCGAGGCGAAATATCGAGGTCTAGGAACGAGGCAAGTTTAGATTAAGATGTTCAGTCCCTAAGAGGTATTTCACAAATCTTTTGCTCCGGTCTCTTTACAGAAAAACAAATATTTTGAAGACATCCGTTGGAAACTATGCGTTTTATGAATTACCTTAACTAGATTTAAGTGTTGAATAACAGTATCATTATTTTGTTTTTCAATTTGTACCGCATTTTAATATAATTTTTCTACAGCAAAGGAACTAAAGAATGTGTGAAAGAGTATCGCTACACAAACCTGCCAGATCTTTAACGTAATACACATCAATAAAAAACAGCCTGAACATCTCAATTCCAGCTTCGAGAAATTCATCGATGCGATTCTGTGAGTGCAACAACGCACATTTGTGGAAGAGTAGTCGAAAATCCTGCCAAATGAAAAATAAAATATATACAGTATAATTCAAGTGTAATGGTGCGAATTTATTCCACACAGATCATCTTCAAAAACCTTTACTTCGCCATTTTTTTCCCCCAAGTCTACGGTTAGTAATGAACTTTCGATGAGCTTCAAATTGAAGGAAACCTGAAAATAATAGTTTACAAAGATAAAAAAACACCAAAGATATAAAAGTAAACCATAAAGAAACAAGGATGGTTAAGGATGGAGAAGATTAACACGGATTACAAACGGCGAACTTGAAAGATTTAGGCTAAGCTTTTCAAGATGCGCAAACCGTGACGTAGGCTCGATTTCCGCCGCTTTCTCGAGTCCGGTCTACGTTCCTCCCCGAGAAGAGACGGCTGGACGCATGAGCGGCAAAGCATGTCTGTGACGTAAATTCATAATTAAATTCTTGCGGCGCTTCAGATGGCCGAAAATGTCATCCGATGACAATCATAAGCAGGCCCACATGACGCCTACGGCTCGTAAAATTTGTGGCGTTTTCGCCACTTCTTCATTTAATTTTGGCCTTCCGACCTATTTTGTTTCACATTATTGTTGCGGAAGGGCATAACATGCTGTGTTTTATAGAAGACTAAAAAAAAGTAGAGCAGAGCTGTTCGACTATGGTGTAGCAACTGTCATGTCAAAGGTCACACATAAGTCGTATGGTGTGTATGGTGTTGACACCATGTTTATGTTTTGCTAGTTCGGTTTGCTTTGGCTCATTTAAAAATTTATTTTTGAGTGGCTTCGCCAGAGACTGGTGTCGCTTCCCGTCAAGACGACCACCGTACACATCAATTTGACTGAGTGCTTTGTTTCTTGAGATCGATGTTTGCGTTTATCCCTCTCTTCGTTGACTTTGTTCGTTATCTGACATTCTGGCTCCACATAATTCAAAAACAGATTCTAGTCTGCTGACTATTTTGCGTGTGTATATGCCACTATGGTTTAGATCAGGCAAGATTTCATCAGTTGACACGGCATTTGGTTAAATGTCCCACTAATGCGATCGCACTTTATATCGCACAACTTCTTTGCTACTGCGACTAATTTATGCAGCCTGCTCGATTCAGGCAGGCAGATTTCTTATTGGTTGAAATTAACAATGCCACGTCCACGAGTCCAGCCGTGAGTTCGGGGGAGGAGCGCGGGCTCCTTTCCCGAACAGCGGCTGGTAATCGAGCCTAACCGTGACGTAGCACCTTTAATCTTTCTCGATCATAACAATCGTTGTTTATATCTGTTATATCTGTGTTTCCTCTGGAAAGTGATTTTGACAAAGTTTCTTTAATAAGCCATTTCCAAGTTGTCTTTTGTCTCTGTTTCAAAACGAGTCTTCGTGCAAAAACTTTCAGATGAAAATGAGTTTGATTTGCATGAAAATGGACCTGTAGGTGGAAAACATTTCCATATGAATGGTTTCGCGCGAAGACTCCAAAGGCAACTCGAAAATGACCTATTTAGTGTGCTCATTTCTCATCACGTTGACCAAACTTGTTCACCAGAACAGCGAACTTCGATTGAACCAACCACGCCTACAAGGAATACATAATTTCCGGCAACTGGAGCCGAGTCTCATGAATCCAATCACATATAACAAGCAATGAAATGGTAAAAATGCAAATGATTTTGTCACCCAAGTGAAACTACCAACACTTTATTACTCGGTTATAAAGTGTTATTCAATCCAACGAACTGAAATAAGTTTGTTTCAGTGTTTCTTCAGAGTATTCGGGGGTATATTGAATAGACATCTCAATAGTGATGATTTCCTTTATTCTCATAACCTGACAGCTCGATAGTATACTGATATTGTAAGGAGAAACTACTCATCGATCACTCTTTGTAATTCAGTGGTTACAAATAGGCCACGTTCGATAAATCAAAATTCTAACATGGCTCCGAGGTTTTCGGGTTAAAATTACAAATTTTTTAAGTTTCTTTTGTCCCTCAATTCCCAAAAGTTACTTGGATTCAAAGAAAACAACACCAAACATAGAGGTTTGTCCTGAAAGCCTCGGAACCATGTTAGAATATCGATATATCGAACGTGGCCTATCATTGACCCTGTCATAGCATGCTAACGTAAGCGGCTGGCCGATTCTACCACAATCCATCTAATCACAGCCGACTCAAATGTTTAAATTCTAGTGATCCTACTGAAACAAAAATTAAGGATGACAGCAATGTTGACTGACCAACCTGTGGCTGTACCGCGGACTCCCTTTCAGACCCCTCTGATTGCACGGAGCTTGTATCCATGGCAACTTCTTCCTCGGTGGAATCGACAGCGCCCTCTATACCTCTGGGATCTAGCATGTCGCCAATATACAAAGAATAGAACAAGCTCTGACGAAACGTCTTCAATAGAAGGATACTTCAATAATAGTCAACTATTAGACAACTCGACCCTATACATATGGCAGTAACTATGACAGACGTTAATAATGCTGAACTAACTCCCGTGGGTAATGTATAAAAGAAGGTCGGAACAAACATCAAACTGTGAGTCTGGTAATTACGCTACTCTCCGACGGAAGACAATAATTTCGTCTTTTCCAAAATGACGTGTTCGTGAGAAACAAAGCGAGCCTAGGCTCAAGAAGTTAAAGGCCAGACTTTACTTAAATAAGACCATTGAAATGAACTGACCAGTTTATGAGAACGTCCACAACATTATCGTAATTCCATTCATATATTGTTTTTTGTCTCCTTTCCGAAGCTCCGGAGCTCGTTGCAACCAGATAACACGTCAAGAGCGTTGTTGAATGGTTTCAATGTCATGTTCATAGAACCGAGCACAACGAAATTGATAAATTACTCAGAGCAGACAACATTGTCTTCATTTGTTTATTTACCTTTCATTGTTTGCTCAGCTCTGAGTTAGTTCACGCACCTGATAACACATCCAGGGTCTTGTTAGTTGGTTACAGTAACGCGATTATTTTACCGCGTGTACAAAAGCTGAAGCGGGTTTTCACTAGCGACTGAGTCAAAGAAGTCTGAGTCATAAGAGTGCTTACAACCTAGTGAAATCGAAAATCGAAAAAGTAGTCGGAGCCATAAGCTCGACGGAATCGGATTCGGAAGAATCATAATAATTCGTTTTTCTACCAATTCCGCGTATGATCAGATGAAAACTAGGAATTTCAGAGTCCGAAGCAAAAGCGAAAGAACAAACCAATCAAAAGACCCGGAATCGAGCATTGTGATTGGTTTATTCTTCAGCTTCTGCTTCCGACTCCAACAATCTAGTTATCACTTTATTATAAGCGGCGGAGTCAAAGCGGAATCAGTGTTCTGCTTCCGACTCCGTCACTTTGATTTTCATCGGATCGTATCGCTCTGTGCTTCTGATTACGACTCCAACCACGACTCCGTCGCTTGAGAAAACCAGCCTCAAATGCAATTAAAAAGCTTGTAGAACCGTTTTCAAGTGAGTGTCGTAAACCCAAAACCAATTACTTACCAATCAGACTACTAAACCAATCTCAAACCGAAGTAACACCAACACCAAAACCAAAGTAATTTTCTGATTATTTTCGACACTTAATTGAAAACCGCTCTAACATTTTATAATCTGTTCTTCGTTTCCTTTGCACCGATGGCTTACGACTTACCGGATAACACATCCAGAGCCTGGTTAGGTCTCCCAAGCTGTTGATGAAGAGAAGCCAGGAAAAGTCGTGCATCCAGATGATTTGGAGCTAAGTTGACCACTCGTGCGTATGCTGATGCAGCTTCTTCTAGTCTGCCGAGCGAGTTCAGACATTCCCCCTTCTTTAGCCATACTGCAGCAGCCTAAAGGTGTTTAAAACAATTAAAAATCTATACAAAATCCAAAGGTGGATCTCTGAGAGTAGCTACTGCCACAGGTGAAATATTCTCCGCTATGATTTCCTTTAATTGGCCATTTTACAGTTGTGTGCTTAGTTACCCAGCCTGTGACTGCAAGCGAGGCTGGAGATGGCCTTGCTTTGATACAGACCTCCCTGCTTTTCTCATGTAAATGCCAACTAGTTAGCATAAGAACAACTTGATTTACACAACAAAAGCAGTGAGGTCTTTATCAAAACAAGGTCACCTCCAGCCTCGTTGCCATTCAAAGGCCAGGTCACTGAACAGACAACTGTAAAATGGTCTATTACCGTAAACACCGGCGGATAAGCCAGACTCGCAGATAAGCCACACCCTGAGTTTGGCAACTCAAATTACGGGAAAAAAGTTTTTTGAAAAAAATCAAAATAATTCACAATTGGAGTCTTTAGAAAGATTCTTTGCATATACATTTCTTGATTTACTGAAAGTAAACATTGGAAACAGAGAATACTTCAGACTAAAACCCTTACCTGTAATTTTAGTTCTGAAATAGTATGGACATGATTTCTACCAACTCTGGTATATGTTGATCTTTCTCTGGTATTTTTCAACCAGTATTTTTTTGTTTTCATTCCTTTCAGTTTTTTTAACAGAATTTTACATACAACATCAAGAACGCTTTCGTCCGTAGCTCGTAGCTTAGTGGGTAAATTGAGAGTAATGATGAGCATTTTTCGCGACATTTCTAACGCGGTACTGTTCTCCACACTTACCGCTGCTAAATACCACTTCCCACTACGAAACCAAATTTATACCAAGCCCTTCCCACCCCTAGACAGGTCTTGCCATGACATCAGTGACCGACCTTGTTCTTAGTAGTTAAACTATGACAACTTGCATGTCTCTGAGCGCGGCCTTAGTTAACCGGGCAGTGACAGACACTGCCCTGGATCTGGAGTGAGTGCGACGCTACAACCATTACCTTACAAGAGCTGTGGTAGTCTGTAACGCATTAACAGGTAACGATCCCTGTAACGCAACCCAGGACAGCTTTCGAAAACTTGAGAAATTCTGGTGATTTCCAATACACTGAAACCGTCGACTTTTGAAATATCAATTGCGACATTTGAGGCCAAATCAATTTTTTCGAGGTAACGGTCTGTTTCAACCAGAACGGTCTGTTCAGTTCGACCAGAACGGTCTGTTTCAAGGGCGTGCGATTTCATACTGATTTTTCCTCTACTGGCCGGTGAATTTTTGATATTTACCACAAAAATCAAATTGACCACAATTTTCTATGGTCTTCACAATTATAGACCAAGGAAATGACGTCATAAAATAATAAAACTTTGCAGGGAAACCAGATGAGTTTTGAACCTTTTACGATGTTATTTCTCTGAAAGAGACCATTGTAAAAATCGGTTCAATTAGTAAACTAGTCCACGTATTTACGTTAAAAAAAAAAAACAGAAAGAAAGACAAATAATTCCTCACTCACCATGCAGTACTTTTCCGTTTTAACAAGCATATCAAAGATTGGCAAAGCCTGTTCCCAGTCACCTATACACACAAAAAAGTCAAGGCAAAAAGGTGAAATCGCACTCGAGCACAATTGGCTCCCGCAGCTTTTCAGTTTCTATTACATGAAACAAGAAGCTGTGTTGCCAAAACTGCTACATCTTAAATCCAACGTGCGAACAAAAAGATCACCCTGCCACCTGAAAATGTACAACCTTGGTATAATTTCACTACAGCTCTTTTCTCAACCACACTTGATAGTCGTTTTTTAACATGGGTTCGTTAACAAGACCACCACATCAGTCCAAAGTTTACCGCGAGCTGCCCACTGACCTTTGGATCATAGACTGAGAACAGTCTTCCTTTTCTTTCTATACCTAAGCTCGAGCGAGTGGGAATGGGGACGAGCTGAATTACGCGATTCGAAGGTGAACGCCTAAGGTCGTCCTCGTCAGTCCTGGACGCTTTCGCTAGCTCGAACTAAAACAAAGAGAGAGGGGCAGCTCAGAGTCAATTTGAATACTGAAAGTACGAATTAGCAAATTCGGCGTGACCTACGATTGCAGTTACTCAGAAAAAAAAAACAGAATAAATAACCCAAAATATGCCGAGTCAGGGCTGTGTTCTAGAAGCGTGCGGGTGCCACAGGAACGTTTGCCTTCAGGCGACTGGAAAAACTAACTTATTTTATTTACATAAGCTGAAGTACAGGGCACCCAGGATTTCATGGTTAGGAACCTTAAGCTCCTCGTAGTTTTTTTTAGATCACAGCCTTGTGACTGAATTCTAGGACAAAACTTGTTTCTCCCAGTCCTACTCAAAAACCTGCGACTCGTGTTATGTTTTATACAGACACTACACTCACCATTCTCTGCATAAGCTTCACCAACATCAATATACAAGTCGCCAACTGCCTCCACTGACTCCAAGAAAAGTGGAGCAAGAATTTCCTGGTAGAATACAAGTAACAGCCATTGTGGTATAAACAAAAATGTAATAATCATAACTGACAGGTATGGTTGTGGAACGTGCGGTGGCCTCATGGTTGGTGCGCTCATCTCCTGATCGAGCGGTTCGGGTTCGAGCCCTGGCCGGGGACATTGTGTTGTGTTTTGGGCAAAACACTTTACTCTCACAGCGTCTCTCCCCACTCAGGTGTATAAATGGGTAGGTACCGACAAATTTAGTGCTGGGGTAACCCTTCGAAAGACTAGCATCCCATCCAAGGGGGAGTAGAAATACTCCTGGCCACTTGACTCGTAAAGACTTTATCCACTTTACCTATAGTATTCTTATACAGTTAAGAAAGTCACTGTGTGTTCAACAGTTTCCAGAAATTCGGTAAGGTTAATTAAAAAAGGCCTTTAGGACACTAATCAAATGTAAAGAAGCACTCTTATGGTCTAATTGATGCGATGCTTGTGTTTAGCTACATTTGAGTTTTTGAAGAGATCAAATTAAGGAATCGAGCTCGAATTTTTCTTAGATAACAACACGAAAAAGACATTATTGAACAAGCCTTTTTAGGCCCATATTGGAGCACTATTGATAGGGTTAATTTTTGAGCAATTTTAGAGGAAAAAATAAATAATAAGTAACATAGTAATTGGAACGAGTGGAGAACAACACAGGGAGTAATTGTAAGACACAAGGTCCAATTACNGAAGTAATAAGTGTGATGATCGGAGGATTCTGGAAGGTTGGTAGTACGTTACTAGATCTTGAATGTAGACAGGAGATTGTTGATGAAGAGCCTTAAAGGGTAAGTAATATAATCTTGAATTGAATAATCTTGTAAAAGCATCAAATGTTTTCTGTCCACACTACGTCGGAGAAATTTGAACACGCACCAATCACCGGTCATTTTGCATTTGTGTTTGAGGAAAACTCGGTCAGGGGAATATCACAACTATCGTCACGTCATCATTTTCAAAACGTTTTCCGTCCACACTAAGACGCGGAGCTGGCGTTTTCAAATTCCTCCGATTTGAAGAGAGTTTTCGAAAAGCTCCGTTTTCGTGGCAGATTAGTACAGTGTGGACGGAAGGCCTAACGTTAACCGGAGAAATAAAGCTCCGTTTTCAAATTCTCCAGGGTAGTGTGGATAGCCCAGGGTCTTGATATGAAAGCAAAACTGTAAGAACTTTTCCATAGTTACCTTAACTGAGTGTAACTGCCTAACATGAATAAGGCACACGGCAATTTTAACACGAAGATCAATCGGAAGGTCTTCAGGTACAATCCACTTGACTGTAGTTTCAACACTGCCTTCCTGAGGAGAAGTGGCTGTGTTTGTCTCCTGACCTAGACTCTGTAGTTGCGTGAACGATGTTAAAGGCGATTCCCCAGGAAATTCTTCTATCGTTTCCTTCTTAATATCACAATATTTTGAAATCATCTGAAACAGAAAAAATAAATCAAAATGTAAAACATTAACTGCTATCAGTAGAATAGGTACGGAGGTTTTGAAGGTACATGTGAAGCATTGATTAATCACTGCACGAGAAAACAAACCCTTGATATATATGAATGCATTTTCCTAGTTACTTGGTACTCCGTTATCCAAGCGTTTCACTGCGTTTGTTACATTGGATTTTCACAGATTTTATCGTGTGGAGGGGGCTTGGCCAAGTGGTTTAGGGCGCTGGATTTGAAGGTTCAAATCCTTCAACCTGCCGCTATCTGGATTTGTTCTCGATAGCCCCGAGTTCAACTCCTTCACTGCGTTGTGTAAATAGCCAACTGGTCAGCCTCCCACCAATAATCTAATAATCTGTGTTCTATTTGTAATATTTTTTTAATTACTTTACAGTGTCCCCAATTAGTACAACAGTGCTAAACACACTTGACACTTACACAAAGATATTTATTTTATTTTATTTACTTATCCATGTATAATTTACCTCTAATGCAGGTTCATAAGCCTTGGATGTCATATGGAGATCAGCAAGCATATTAACAGCTGGGCAACAAGATGCATTACACGCGGGTTAATAAATTTAATAGCAACATGTTGAAGACTTAATTTAAAAGGACATAACAAAGATCATTTAAGCCAAAAAAAAAAAACATGAAAAATACAGATAATAAATTTTGTGTTTTCTAACGAAAGAGCCCATTTCAGGCCGTAAAATGGCCCTTTGCACAAAATTGTCACCTAACCTTGTCAGTCATAAAGAAAATGTTCGTGGCACGAGAGAGATGTCAGAAAAGGAAAGTGCCATCATATGAGAGACGATTGAAGTCTAAATGTAAATTGTAACGCTGCTTAGAAGAATAAAAATCTTAAAAGATAAGATTTGTGTGAAACTAGATCTTGTTGAATGGCAAACTTGGCCATCGAAAAATGGTCTAAATTGTTTGGACCTTCATTTCCTCATAACATCTCTCGCTTTTTGTCATGTTTGTTTAAAAACAAACATGACAAACCTATTCGTTTCAGTCCAGGACTGTTTTTTTGATCGACCAAGACCATGTTACAAGCTAAAACATTTAGAACCTATCAAAGATGGCTGAAGATGGCTGAAGACTTGGTCACTTTAGAGTCTGAGAGCGTCAAAATTTTGCCGCCATAAGACTGATTTATTTCGACTTTTTTTCTCAGCGACTTTTAACCGCAAATATTTTGCTGCCATAAGACTTGTGTTTGCATCTTCCTCGACTTTTTTTCCTAGGTTCCTGTATTTGGACCTACAGACTACAAAGGAGAGGCGAGAACTTGCTAAAACAACAGGTACAAAATGCAACTCACCTTGGTTGTTAACATCGCTTGGATATTTAGAAAACGCAGCTTGTAATAATTTAATAACTTCCTCCAATGCATTGTTTTCATGATACAACTAAGAAAAAGGTTTGAAACACCTCATGTTAAACTTACAGGAAGTGTGTATCTTAAAAAAAATCACAGAGCAGCTTATGGTCAAGATACTGTTTATTCTCCAACACATGAATTGATGACATTATTATTGTCATAATAATTAATGAATTTATCATTCTCCGTTTCTCATACGATTACATGTAGTTTCAATTGAGAGGAAATCTCAAGCAATCAAGACAGTTGTGCACTGTATTTGTCGACTTTGTTGTGTGTTCATCTTTTGTGTTCAAGTTACACTGATGTACAGACCTCTTACTAACCGAGTTCGAGGGCCGTACTGTAAGTTACGGATTCTCGTTTTTTCTCCATCAATTTATGGCCCAGGCGCGAAGCGCGCTGGCCATAAATCGACGGGGAAAAAACGAGAATCCGTAACTTACATTATTATATGGCTCTGTCTCACAAGGACTGGGAACTACCAAATTCGAGAATTTGATTGGCTGAAATCAATCTTGAAAGAGATCTAGATTTCCCCATGTAGACCGGCATCTATAGACCGGTACTGTTTTGCAGAGAAAATGTTGCAAACTAAAATGCAAAATCATGGACTATTTTCTTCTAACAATATTTATTTATGGAAGTTCCAAAAAGCCTGATGAGAGAAAAAAGCAAAGAGGGCGAGCAAACTTTCGCAGAATTAAATTCAGCTCATCGCCGTTCGCAAGCAAAATGTCAGTTTGTACAAACCAGTTGCATTAAACGAATTAAATTGTTATTGTTTGCCATATAATAAACATCTTATTAACAGAGCTTAGTCGGTCTGTATGGGAGAATCTTGACCTCGGTCGTGTGCACAGACCTCATTGCGTTCGGTCTGTACTCCCGACCTCGGTCAAGATTCTCCCATACAGGCCTCCTGCTTGGTTAATAAGAGCTAAATACGGACCAAAAAGACGAGGTTAGCAAGATATTTGTTATATCTCTACTGTGTGTCTGATGGGTTCGCGAACGATTCCTATTCACGCGGAACGGCTTCAAATTTCTTTCAAAGTTTTTCGCTTAGTCCGTCGTGCGTGACGCGAAAGAAAACCGCGAGACAAAAATGGCCACGCGAAGCGAAAGAGGGACTACTCGTAGTCTAGCAAAACGAGTCAATTTGAAATCGTGGTTAAGTGACTCTCAAAAGTCGTTAGCAGGTATTAATACGCAATTTCAGAAGTAAAAGAAAGTTTTCAAATTTTACCTGCTAAAAAAAGTTAAGAACACTTAGCGATAATTCACCTAAACTTTTGGCAAAAACAGCTTCAAAGTTTAGCGGGCCTTACAGCAGAATACGGCCCGCTAAATTGACCGATCCCAGCGCGCGTACTAACTGAGAGATATAATAATACGTCACAAACTACGGTCACAATTACAATGTAAAATAGCTTGTGATTGATTTGCTTGGATTTCAACATGAACACGTTTGTGCCTTTAGCATGTCTACAGTGAGCGCCAGCCCAACATGACATGATTTTTATGAACTTGACAATGGGCAGACATCCAATGATTTAGCAGCTTGCAAAGTCAAACAATGCTGAACAGAGGGGTGGAGAGGAACCAATATTTTTGTCCTGAACTTGCTTCTGACAGTTTTTTTTTAAAGTATCAAATGAGTGAGATCTGTAAGCCTTGGCCATTTGGGCAAGACCTTTTATCACTTAACCTTAACACCACTTAGTAACACGTGCGAAACAAAAATTGCTTGCTTACTGTACAAAAAGTTAAGCATTGCATCTTACCTTTGCCATCTCACAAGACAGATCAATATATTTAGCTCCATCATCCTCTGGCACAGCCTACAAAACAAGGAGAGTTACATTAAACTAACAATAATAATCATAATAACATCAAAATATTATAAACCTGCCAGAGAGAGCAAAACCTTAAAAAATTCAAACTGCAGTGTAATGACTCACCATCACTACTTTCTGGCTTAGCCATGTTTGGTGACTTTTTACATCTTTAATTTAGGAGGGTCACGACTTTGCTAAAGGTTGTGTCTTTCAAAAACTCGCTTTTTCATCAAAACTTTTTTGTTATTTGTTGATATCATTTACAAAATATGCTGATCAATATCTTTCACATTGAGGAAAATGAGAATTAGTAATCAAATTGAGTTAAATTAGTAGAAACTCAACAGAACTGCAGAACTTTCAGAACCTACAATTTTATGCATGTCAAATGTAAGTCAAACATCAAGAATAATTTTTCCCTTTAACCCTTTACACCCTAAGGCGAACGGCAGTTTTTCCCAGATCAGCAAATGAAGACTCGCTGTGTGTGTGCAATATACCATTTGAAAGCCATTGATCAGCTTATAAGAATTGACATTCACAGCTATGAAGGAGGTAATCATTTTGAGAGAGACTTTTTAGTTGCTTTAAACATGTATCAACTCTCCAATATCTTAGGTATACCCCTAAACTATAGCTTAGTTAGCAGTTCTTTGTGCATAGGTTGATGTGATCAACAACTCTTGCATTCCATACGCATTAGAAAAAAAAAGAAAGAAATTGGAAACTTGGTGGGGTAGTCAACTATGTATTAGATAGGAGGGAGTCACAATATTTTGACTTCAATGAGTAGATCTTTACAAGACAATTTCTGTGGCAAAAATTCATAGAAATCTCTACAATATGTACAAAGTTACATGACATTGTGTGCCAATTGGCACTCATAGGGAGTAAAGGATATCAGTGAATATTGTCAATGATGGCATACAATACAATCAAGACAATTCTTGAACTTCAACAAAAAAAAAGTGTCTTCTAATACTACATTTATTAATTAGTTTTTCTCTTAAAGTAATCAGTTACTTAGACCTATATGACTGCACATATCACCTTAAGAGCTGCTTCATAACATTCCAGAGCTTTCTTAAGATCTCCCATCTGATAACACAAGGCTGCTCTCTCCAACAGAATGTTCACATTTGATGGGTCCAGCTTCAGTGCTACATGTACATGTATGTAAAATATTATCAGAAGGAGTTCAACTGATTATAGGCACAATTGCATACAATGACATCAGTGAACAACAAGGCTAAAACCTTAAAGTTTTTAATTGTTCAAATTATTGTAGTTTGTCTTGTGTGATTGTCCGGGTGAGGGTAGTTCTGAAAAGAACTGTCATTTTCTTTCATCCCACGAAAAATCAATGAATGGAACTCTCTTCCTGAGAATATTGTGAATACAACGTCCTTAGATAGTTTTAAATCAAAGTTAGTTAACAGTTTTTAATATTCCATTGTATTAGTTTTAGTCCTGAGATTTTTTTAATATCCCATTGTATTATTTCCATTCACATTTTTACAGTTGGAGTGATACTGTATCTCACGATTTTTACCGACGACATTTGGACAAGCCAAGTGGAAGTCATCTTCAGAGTCAAGTGAATAGTGTGTTTCAGTCGATGGTGATAAGAGTCAGGTCCATTGAAAGTGATTGGTCAGTTTAGCTGTGATGGTATATAATTATTGGCTGAAAGACTTGTGTATATAGTTTGTTAGCAGTCAATTGATCAGTTCTAGTAAGTTTTCGATCCACGTGAACGGTAAGTATGCAAGTGTCCGGCAGTGAACCCGACATAATTTGCATCACACAGTGTGATGCAACACCCAACACTTACATCAACACATAAGTGAACATCGTTATTCAGCCATTGGGAAACACCTTGAAATACAGCAGGGCAACAACAGAACAGAGACTGATCACCTTTTGGAAGTTGTGAGGAAATGTACATGTAGTGCCCAGCAAGTTCTATTGCTTAGTCTACGAGATGCTGTACATAAAGGTCATCAAGCCTTCTCTTAACACGCAAACTGACTCCATTCACTCCAACCTGTTTACGTGACACTTTTGTACATTTTTATTCCTTTTTTTTTCCTTACTGTGTTTCTTACCTCAGGAATTATACCCATAGGACCTGCAAATATTTATGTATTGTTTCATATTTTGTATATTCTTATTACATCTTATATGAATTCACTTGATAATGGCCCAAGGTACGTGTAGCATCGAAATGTTGTTCGCTTTTTTAAATGTGTTTTAAAAAATCTCTTAGCCCTTCACTTCTTGATCAATTTAGGTTAGGTTACCTTGGTTATAACAAGTTAAAGCCTGCCCAAAGTTATTCTGTTCAAGGGACATCATTGCCAGCTTTAACCATTCTTCCACATCACCTGACTTGCTAAGGTAAGCAGCGATGAGGAAAAACTGTAAAGGAAAACACAGAAATTAACATTGACTCAATAATTCACAGAGCATAACTCCAGTGAATGTTTACCAGGGTTTTTAAGTTAGAAAAGTTACTGCAAAGATTTATTTTAATTAACATATCAGCCACAGTTTTGCAACTTCACAGCAATTGGGTGAATTTCACTAATTAGTACAATGTACATGTACTTTTACCCACAATTGACAGCAAATGCCATTCTCCAATACCAGACAAAGAAAACAGTGTTTGTCAATAAGTTGCTTAGCAGTGTTTGATAATGTTCGCAGCTTTCACAGATCTGTAACTAGTCTTTAGTACAGCGTACATGTACCTGCACTGTTCTTTAGCTGGATAATAGGAAGTGGAGACTGTTGATTGAGTGCTTCCATAAAGTTACCAAAAAACAATTTATTGAAGCTGGTAATGGAGATGGACTATTGAAAGTATAGTGTACCTGGAGTGCCTTGTCTTGGTCCCCTTGTTCCTCGTACATCATTCCTAACGTCTGGAAAGGTTCTGAACACTTAGGAACTGAAAAATACATGTATTGTCCAGATCAAATTTTTGGGCATGGCAGGACAGGACTTCATTTCACCTGAGTCTCCAATATATCTTCGAAGTGGAAGGTAGTGAAAACTGCAAATCTTTGTTAGTTCTCTCTGTACCAGGAGGTGCATAAGGCTCAACTCCTGCTCTCCAATCAGCTGCGATGTGTGCCAAACCCCTGACTTCAGCTCAGCTAGCCCATCCACCCACCCATATGCAAGGAGAGGTTTTTTTGTTAAATTGATTTAGAGACCAGTTAACATTTGTATAGTGGCTGAATTACCTCACACAATGCATGACCCGCCTTTTCACAAGGTCTCTGATGAATTTTCTTCCTGTCCCAAGAGCAAGAGTATCAGATCTCTGTTGCAAGTTCTCGCTCAGAGAGGAAGATTGAACAAGCAGGCTGGCAAAACAAAACTGAGGGGCCAGGAAGAGAAAAACTTCAGGAAAGGTTGGGAGAGCCTGTAAGCAGTGTTGTAAATACCTGATTTTGTACTAATACTTCATGTATGTCACAGCAATGATATCAACAGATGTTCCCTCTGACCTTTCATCATATATGGAAATTCCATTACATTATTTCCATGATTCATATGTAGCGTTTTTTTTTTTAAGAGTACAAATAATAGGCCATGTTCGATATATCTGTCAACATTCTAACATGGCTCTGAGGCTTTTGGGACAAATTCCTATACTTGGCGTTGTTTTCTTTGTATCCAAGTCTCTTTTGGGAATTGAGAGACAAAAGAAACTTTAAAATCTTAATATATTTTTGACCCAAAAGCTTCGGAGCCATGTAAGAATATTGTATATTGAATATGGCCTAATAAAAAATGATTTTTTGTGGGTTCTAAATAGCTCTTTACACGGTTAGTTTTTCTCACTTGCATTACCATTTACAAAATAATGTAATCCAACATGGATATGAGGCAATTTTGGGCTGAAACTATAAAATAGCCTGAATTGCCTCACATACATGTTAGGTTTTATTGCAATCCTAATGAGCAAAATTAACCGTGAAAAGGGCTATTAAGGCCCCACCCTGCTCCGCTTCAATTCTCCTCACTTGGCCCCTCAATTATAGTGTTCTGCTTGCTTCACAATTTCCTCCTGCTACTTTATTCTACATGTAACTTGAAAACCCCGCTCCTGTCACTAAGGATTCAGGGGAGTTGGTCAGAGTGACTGGCCACCAAGCACTGGAGTAAATTTTTTTTGCCCTACTCAGTTAAGCCCCTTCAAGAAACAAGAATGAACCAATAAAATCATACAACAAATTGTTCAGTACCTTGGCGAATTAACTCCATACATATTCCCTTTGCTTGTTCAATTTCTCCTCTAGCCCATAAAATGTTAGCTTGACCCATAGTTTGCTTCAGTCTTTGTGGTAATTCAAACAGTTTTCGTCGTGCAATCCTTCGTTGTTTTTGCATTGGAATCTCCTCCATAAATTCATCAACACCTGTGCCTCCATGTTTCTTTGCACTTTTTGCAGCTGCACGTTGCAATAACAGATCTGTCATTTTAACAGGAGCTCGAGATTTCTTTGTTGGCTCTATGTTTGACATATCATTATTTAGATCACTGTCAGTGGTAGGGAATTGTTCTTCTGAAATGCTGGTCCCTGCTTCAGCTGAGTCAACATTTCCTATTTCTGCCAGTCTAGCAAAAATTGGATCTGATACAAGAACAGTTATCGTCCCTAAAAAGAACACAAAAAGGACATGAGATATTAAAGACAAAACAGCATTTAAAGAAAACGGCAAAACTTTCAAGTTTCTATGACATGTTTCAACAGAAGCCACTGTCATCTCCAGTTGATTAATGTACAAAGCATTAGAAGTTGAATTTATAATAAACAGAAAAATGCTGATTGTGACAACGAAATGTAAAAGTTTTGTCATTTTCTTTAAAGTTTTGACTAACTTGCTGGAATTATCAACTGAAGGCCCTTTCCAGGTAAAAAACAGTATTTGTAAAGATGAGCATCTACATGTAAATGATAACTGCTTTGAAAGATACCATTTCAAGGTACATGCATCTTTCAACTTTTAATATCACATGTAAGCGTGATGCTTTGTCTTTTGTAGGTTGTGCTGTCATCCTGTCACTTGAGATTCCGAGTACCATTCCCCCCCCCCTCCCTGCCCCATCCTCTAGGGGTACTGTACACGAAGACAAAATATTGCTGATACAAAAAGACAGAAACAGAAGATAAATGAAAACATGGATTTCTAACAAAGAGACAATAGAGAATAATTATAATGGTAGGCAGACTGTCAGCAGAACCCCAAACTTCCTCTACCCCTGACCCTCCCAAAAACATTAGACTGCTACATGCCCCAGGAGGGGTACTCTCAGAATAATTAAGTGGGGATGTGGGGCCCACTTCCCAATACCATACCCTTACCCTGTTTTAAGACCAAACTTCATCCTATTTATGACCTGACCAAAAATTTGATGCCCTATTTAAGACCTGACCTTTTATCAATACCTGTTTCAGACCTGCCTTATAAATAGTTCCCTAGTTCAGACTGTTGTTAAAGGCATTGTGAATTGCTTTTGTTGATGGTCTTATCAATAATGATGAAAGGTAGCTTCTTCAAAAAACATACCCAATTCAAGATTAGAGTGCAAAAACCATACCCTATTTGAGACCAAAACAGCCAAATTAATGCCCTATTTCTCACCAAAAGGAAAAAACATACTCTTTAACACTGCCCAGGGTCCGAAATTAACTTTTTGAGGCAGGCGCCAACTGGCGACTGAATTTTTTTTTT